CTGGAAGCAAATTTTGGCGAAACAACGAATTGAAATCGATTGTTATGATACAGAAAACTTGTGTTTCCGAAACAGCTGTGGCATGTACCATTCGAACAACGCAAACGGATAGAAATTCAACGCACGTTAGAAGCTATGGTTTTCAAAATTTANAATTTAGTCCTCGATGTCGGAGAGCTCCGGCAAATTACATCCGCATTAAAACAGAAGATTTCCACAAAAAAAGAATTCAAAACAGTCAGTCTGTGGCTATGGGATAGCAAACGGACGGGCAATTTAGCCAAGTCTCTTCTGCTGCTTACATGACGGGAACCCTTTTTGCTTGCACAAAATAATGAGTCCCTATCAAGCTTAGCAGGGGATGGGTTTGAACTTGTGCTTATTAGAGTGAGGGCTTGTCAGTGAACAGCTTGTGTATTTGTGCGTCGCTAGTGCTTTCGCTATACTGGTACGATGATGGTCCCTGAGCCTCATTCTTGGAAAAAAGAATACGGACAGTGGGATTCCACTGAAGGCTCCGAGTATTGTCATGCTGAATTAAAAAATTCCACATTCACTGTGTCTCCATCTTTAGTTCAAACCACTACGTTGCTCGGGCAAGATAATTTCCAATGGTTATCGATTTGGATCGTTGCTGTGTATATCTTCATTTGCGCAAGAAGCTGAATCAGAAATTCTTTTGTCAGTCGAATATGATTTCAAATTCGTTGTTTCTTTGTTTGAGGCAAAAAGCTGAGGTTCAGTTCATCCGTTTTCGAAGATCCATCCCGTTCTGTCTCCGTTCAGAGTTACGCCAGATGAAACGCTGCCCACCTAAATATCGACTAGTCCTTAATCTTGAAACTGCCCTCAACCTAACCTACGGTAATTTCTCTCGTTGTATTCGTTTTGTTTCATATTTCTCACCGTCCCATGCAAAAGCCAACTACTCAAACGTACTCTGAGAAGGTTTATATTTTTCCTCATTGCCAAATTGTGGACTATTGCCTAACTTTTATTTCAGACCACATTCAAATGCAGAACTAACAGAAATGCATGTGTGTTTATGCGTGGATTTAGAAACTCTTTCATAATTGTGCAAATGGTTGTTTCGGCAAATTTGAAGTTGGTATATCGATTGTGAAAAGTTCAGTAGCCTTGGTGGAGTTCGAACCCACGCATGGACGCCGCCTACGCTTTGTGCGCGCATGCTCAACCAGCTGGTGAACCGCAGTGAATTCTAAGGAAAACCTATCGGGGCAGTTAGCTAACATGCCAATTGGTGGATGACAAATGCCTCTGTCAGTTGGATGGGTAATTCGAATCATTCATAATTAACTGAAAAACGGCAATAAACTCATGGATGAATATTTCTACCTGGTGAATAAAGAAAGAATGAAAAAAAGGTGACGCATTCGGCACTGAGGAAGCGGATTCCAAGAGATGAAGTTTAGCCAGTATCCAGGTGATTTCAGTAAATGGGTGCACACTATCAATCATTTGCACCACATAGGAAATTTATTTTGAGTAAACAAACAAAAATTCAGCTTCAACTTCAGTTTTCAATCATCGAGAATCTAATAAAACCGAGCGAATAATACAGATTTACTAACTCACCGAGTCCACATCTGATATGGCCCCTTGAAGCAAGTCTTCCACGCTGCTTGCCGATCCACTTGTGATGTGATTCTCTAATGATGGCCTTGGATTGAGCTGAACAGAACAGGGAAGGAAATAAGTTTGTGTGAGAAATAGAACATTTGGATGCAAAGTAGGGAACTTCGGTGGCAATTGGGATGAGGAACCACTGACAAAGGTACGGTAACTAAAAAATTCTGTGATACGAAACATAGGTACATCCTTCACAGATTTACTGTCGTCCGGTACAAAAAGGTATCTCTTTATCAGCACAAGTTTACAGATCGGTCTATCAATTATTGTGGCTAAACAGTGAACCTTTGTGGCAACTGTAATTACTACAAACATACTCGGTCAAGTGAATAAAACAGCTCTAAAGACTTTCTAATGTTTAGTTATACGGATTTTACTCTGTAGCAAAAAAATCGCAGATTACGGACCTGATGAAACGCGTCATCGTTACCAAATGGTGTATTTCTTTATTTGTGTTAGTTCCTGCTATTGAATACACAATTTTACAATTTTCAGGGAGGGGGAAGCGGCCAATTAAAAGGCTGCCGCACAACACAGTGGGGAAGGTGGTGGTGGGATTCGAACACGTCTCCCCAGGGTGATAATTTGATGACGTTACCACCGGGCAACCACCGCCCTATAACAAAATAGTATCCTGTTCCGTAACAGGACTACTAAAAAACAGATACAATACAATGGTTGAACAGACCGCACTTTTGCATGAATTCTGTGATTCGAGATTGAATACGAGTGTGAGACAAGCACTCACATGATGTGGACTATTCGAATGCAACGAGGAACGAGAACCGAATTGGGAAGGAGTTTTGCTCATCAGATTGGCTGGGGAATCCGAGCGCACTGCTAACGACCGTTCAGAAGGTCTAACGTCATCCGGACGCGTTTTCGTCTTACTACTAGGTAAGGATCCGGGATCGGGTGGTGTCAAGGATTGGATGAGTATTTGCAGAGCAGCCAAACTGTCTGCGCATGTGTGCAGCCGGAGCAGGTTGTTTGTGGAACGTACATCAATCCTTGTCAAAAAAGGATTATTTGGATCCTATCAATTGAAAAAAAGCATGCGGTTCAGTTGGCGGGAAAGAGAGGGATTGGCGACATTTTTCTCAATGCGTTTGCGTGTGACCAGGAGAAATGCAAATCGGAATCTGATTTATGATGATATGTCCCGTACACTGAGCAATATCCTGCGAGTAACCTGAATCGAACGTCGTTGACGAGAGAAGTACACACTAATACATAATTTTGTGTATAGGAACTAAAAGTGCTAAGCTAATACCGCTATTTTTCGAAGGACTAGTGTATTTATTAAGCCGGAATGCGAGTAAGCTTTGTTCCGACGCAGCAGTATCAACAAAAAAATTAAAAGGGGGAAGTAGGGCCGCTTCGTTTTTTTGGATAGTATGTGTATTGTTTTTCACGCAGTGCTTGGCTTCAAGGCCTGATCACTTCGGGTTGAGGACATTAGTCAACCTTTTCACTGGGTAACCGAGGTGTTCCTGGTGTCCGTTGGGGAAGGTTGAGTGAGTAACATAACAACATCAACGATAAGAACTAATAATCAGTAATTGTGAACGGTCCCATTGTGAACTGGTGGTCATAGTACTAACACTATCATCATGCGCGTCAGCTGATATGATGAGCTGTAACAAGAGCGAAACTCAAGCGAACTGGATGAGCTGACGAACTCAGGGAGATGGTCAATCGAAATTGATAATAGTTTATCTCACATGTAACTGTGAGTAATATGTGAATGATGATGATAAAAATGCCTAGTATTAATAAGAAACAAAATGTGGAAACATGGATTGAACGAAATGCGGATACAGAAAATAAAAAAAACTACAATTTGCAAAAGCCGTTGAGTTGATCGGATGATATTCGGGTGATGAGTAAAATAAACCACGGGGAGCATTGCATTTGGATCGAAAGAGTAGGAAAGAATGATGTTCATTAAGCACTACCGGGGGCAACTGTTTAGAGGCGCATATTCCATTGCAGTGCGCCATTCCCTTTCTCACAGCTGGGGTCGACGGACAGCAACACCATGAGCTTCATTCAATCTACGTATAGTTATCTTTTGTTCCTGGTGCATACACAGACGCAACCATGTCTGTTTATTGGTATTCCTAGGTGCGGGTTGCGGTGATCTAGCCGAGGAATATTATTTGTTCGAATCCCGACAGGAGGTAAAAAGTAAGCATTACTCGCGAGTCGCCACGGGGAAGAAACAGATAATCAGTGCCTTTCGCCGATTGTCACACAAAACTTCGTGAACAAGTAGGATTCATGCACTCCTAGTCTTGTGCCCATATTGTAAACGGAAATAAGGGCAAACATCGTTTCCGTATCATGGAATGGAAAAAATGCATATCCAAATGTGATGAAACTCTAGGTTACCATTATTGCACTTAGCTTACGATGTAAAAATCAACGTACGCATACATCTGGAAGCACCAGAAAAATAATACCTGGTATCAAAAGGCCAACAAACTTCCGCACAGCAAATGGCACTGGACTGTTACTTACTCCCAGAGGATTTCTCATTGGATCAGAGAAACAGCGCAATTCCATATGATCCAAGTCCGCGACACAAACGCAATCGGTTATCTTGAACGATGTTACCCATTTGAGAAATCCACCGGGTGTATTGGTGGTTGCGTTGGCGTTTGCGATGGATTGAAGATGTTCTAAACCAGGAGGGACCTGTTGGGTATGAAGATGAGAGCAGGGCATAAAGGGGGGGAGAGGCTGAATACAGACTGATGAACAAGCTTGTTTTCTTAACTTCTTCAGAAATATACACACGCAAGAATGTGGGCCATATTATTTGTTTTTTTATGGTACACACAGAATTTAGTTCACGACTGGCCCAGTACAAATCATTCTATACGCACTATTGGTTACAGATGATCAAACGAGTGAAATTGATGTCATGAATGTGGTTCCAGATTCGAATCCCACTACCGTCAGGCACATTTGAAAGTAATCAACTTAGCTATCATCCGGTTCAATATCACGCATTTTATGGGAGAGACTTATGCGGTTAACCATTGCACAAACCAGGGTTTTCTTTGCCGGACATCATGGGGCCCCACAAACATAGGTGCGGTATTGAGCCACGCGTCAGTGAGGCTACTTACCGATAAAGATGAGTGGCGGTGACCGGATTCGATCACAGAGCTCAAAGCACTCCAATGACAGCGACTTAAACTGAGTGGCCATCACGACCCGGGGTTTACCGATGCGGCTCCTCGCACAGAACCATGCAGTAAAGGGAGACCCGCAAACAACTGACTTTAAATTATCATGATATTTCACACGCGTCCGGGTTCAGACGGCGTGCCAGAAAAAAAAATCCCCGTACAACTATCTACATTGCACAAGGCTCCACGATTTGCTAGTGTGTGGGATACTGACTTTAAACAGTATTGGGACAAAGAAAAAAATAATGCGCATGTACATTGACGAACTCGCTGAGCCATTAGCGATTAGTGCAGTAAACAAAGTTATAACTTCCAACTCCTCACCACCCATCAATCATATCGATATGCGTCACACGCGGTTCTCAAATCATAAGTTTGACGAAATCCAGACTCACAGTAGAGTTTTATTGTTTTTGTGTTTCTAGTTGCTTTTGAGTTAAATACTATATGCGAATAATTAGACATTACTACAACCTTTAGTACACTTCTGAACAGCGTGGTCTGCCCGAACTAACGAGCATACTTGCCTTGTTCAAAAATCCCCGTTCACATTGTCAAAACCTCGATATTAAATGACCAATGCTGCATTATTAACTTGCCACATTCTGTGAAGGTACCATTATTGATAGCACCAGTAACAATGAAGGCGACTCTAATAAAGGGAGAAGAGCTGCAGAGGAGCATGGTAACGTGACTCGCTGAAATTTTGAGAGTTCTCATAAGAAGCACTGCAGAAGAGTCTGCAAGGGGTATTGGTGACAACCCGCAACTAGCTGACACTTTTCTCAATTACATGTGAAGTGTTGTACAACAAAAGGTGTCAACCCCATTATATAGTCCAAAATGCAGTTGACAACTGGACAGATGAAACGAACAGTATTCTCATTGATCACAATGTGATCCGATTCGGTAGGGCGTTTTGACAAGCATAAGTGCGCTTGCGTTCGCACAAGGAGGAAAAACGCAATGCTGTAGTGGCTTGAGACCGATAGTGCGCTCGAGAGTTGTCACTACCTTTGGTGTGCCTGTTCCGCATGTATGCTTTTGTAAGGTTGCAGGAATTGGTTGCTTGGAGCATTCGCTCGTGCATCCTTCCCCTTTGTAGCATGGATCCCGCCCGGATCTTCGATATCCTGACACCGCTTTTACAGCTAGGTCTTTTATCTTTGTTTAAGTTACTGCCACCTCCGGTGAAGTAACTTCACTTGAAACGGTGCCTCAGTTCAGTGCTACACCTTCGCTTGTTAAGCGTTTTCGCTTTCAGATACTCTCGAGCGTAGTCCGGCTAAACTCCGGTACAGGGAACAATATACTTTCCATTGACTAACCGGGTGTTCTTCCTCATGCACACCGGGTGATCGACAAGCACAGGAGAATTAGAGATCGGATCGCTGTCGCAGGTCGTGATATTGCATACACCATCTCTAAAATGCTGGCAAATTCGATGTGGAACTAAACAATTACCAGTGCTCTTCCTGTGGCGTCATTACAAGTGCCATTCTAGAATAGACCTCTGATACAGATAAAAAAAGAAGAGAAGGGAGGCGTTGAAGGTCACCTATCAGGTAGCTGCATTCGCAGAAACATTGTGTTAACATCTTACTGCTACCGTGGATCAAGGTCAGTGTACCCGTAGAATGGAAGAACCGGTCTCGTTCGTCAGACTGATCTATTCGAATGTGGTACCAAAATGGATTACGAAAATCAACGAAACAGTGCTCTCATCAGGATTAAAATGAATCACTGGACTCAAAAAGAATTACGGATTCCATGACTGAACGCGATCATAAGATTCTGGAATGTTCACAAAAAATGACTGTCAAAATGGTCAAGGGACTGCATTCCAAAACTTATATGAAAAGACTGGAATCATTGGGGATGTATTCCACACAGTATCGTCGAATTCAAGAGGAGTTGATTTTGTTGTATCAAATAACGCAGAACCCTGATCGCCCATGTCGCTCAACACTCACCTCAAGGGGCACTCATTCAAATTAGTGCTCCAAAAATATTGACTAGAATGCCGGAGTCATTCTTTTGCCCTCAGAGTCTGCTGTATTTAGAATTCTCTACCACCTCACGTTGTTTCTGCAACCACAATTCATTTTTTCAAGCACAAACTGGATGACACTTTGACAAGTGTAAGTTTTCGACATCCATAGCAGTGTACGCAACAAAGACAATTTATGACATTAGTCATCTTTCAATGAACCGTAAATCGATCCATCTGTACTAACCTCTATGGGGCAAGAAAAGCAACCGCTTGTAAGTAGTTCCCATAATAAAACTCTGACATTCTGTGAGTTGAAGATACATACACAACACAGATATCCCAACCTTTGTTTAACTCTTTGTCTTCCGTTCCCAACCCTCCCCCTTCACCCCTTCTACCGACCTGTAATAGTCCCTCAAGCAACTTGGATATCGCCCGCCAAAGGTCATTTCCAAATAGCACTGTAAGTGATTTATCACGGAATGGATTGCAGATTCTGAAGCCTCGTCAATCACTGAATCTGGGGGCCTTCAACGTGAGGACTTTGATGCAGCTAGGTCAACAAGCTTGTCTGGCCCGTACAATGGAATCCTTAGGAATCGATATTTGCTGCATGTCGGAAACTCGGATCCAGGATCCCACTACTCTAAGCCACTTGAGCGCGCCAGAATTGTCGACGAGATACGTTCTTCGCACATCAGCCGACAATGAAGCTCGTTCACTAGGTCAGCGCGGGGTAGGTATTGTACTCAGTAATGAGGCGGGATACTCTCTTATCGATTGGATCACTGTCAACAATCGTATGTGCAGTGCGTCTCCAAGGTTCAATCAGTGTCCGGAAGGGAAGCAACAGCAAAAGGTGTTTGTTCATCGTATCAGCATATGCACCGAACAATTGCAGTTCCGGTACCCAAAAGGACGCTTTCTACGATGAACTCACTGATCTCATTCGGATGATTCGAAGCTCCGACATAGTGGTACTTGCATGTGACTTCAACGCGCAAGTTGGAAAACTGAGGGCATCAGAAGCTTGCCCAGGAGGTAGTTGTGCTCTGCCCTGCTATCGAACAGATAATGGCGATCGACTTCTTCAGTTCTGCGCAGACCATCATCTGTTACTATCAAGCACCAACTTCCGACACAGCTCTCGACGGACGGCAACGTGGTGCTCCAGTTCAACTGGTACGCTAACTCAAATCCACCACGTAGCAGTAAGTTACTGTTGGCGTGGCTCAGTGCAAAATCGCAGGTCCTATTGGACCACCTGCGTTGAGTCTGACAACGCATTAGTTCTGATGCAGTTCACTCTCCGACTGACTGGTCGGCG